GAGGAGAGGAGAGGAGAGGAGAGGAGAGGAGAGGAGAGGAGAGGATAGAGAGGAGAGGAGAGGAGAGGAGAGGAGAGGAGAGGAGAGGAGGAGGAGAGGAGAGGAGAGGAGAGGAGAGGAGAGGAGAGGAGAGGAGGATGGTGAAGCAGAAGATGAACCAGTGCAGTGCAAGAATGAACAACGAAAAGGAGAACTGAGTACAACATATAAAACACTATACTGGACAAAGAAGTGAAGAAGAGTGTACGCAAAGACAAAAGACACTTCTACGAAACACTGGCAAGTGAAGCAGAACAGGCTGCTGGTAGGAGAGACCTGACTGACAACATTATATCAAATAATCGGGTTACTATCTACCAGGGAAGAGATCAACACAGATGGAACCAATAAAAGATGATGAAGGAAATCTAATTACCAAAGACGAGAAACAAAGGAAACGATGGTCTCACCACTTCAAAAAACTTTTGAATCGACGACCACCTGCCGCTCATTCAGAAATACCACCAGCAATGGCAGAATTATCAGTGAGCACAGGCCCTCCGACAAAAGCAGAAGTCCTGAATGCCATAAAGTTGCTGAAATGCTGGAAAGCAGCAGGACCAGATGGCATTCCACCAAAAGCACTGAGCACAGATGCAGAGATAACAGCAGACATACTCGCACCACTTCTACTGCAGAAGGCTTGCAAGGAAGTAAGGAAAGTGCCTGCCCATTGGTAGGAAGAACAGCTACCTTGTCAAACTCCAAAACAAGTAGGACATAAGACTTTGAAAGAACTGGCGAGGAATCATGCTGCTGTCCATCCGAAGCGCAATATTATGCCTCATCATCCTGGAGAGACTAAAAAAATGCTCTGGATTCCAAATTACGACTGGAGCAGGCTGGCTTCAGGAAGAACAAATCATGTGCTCATCAAGTTGCAACACTACGCTAGGCATCATCACAGAATACAGCACAGAATGGCAGTCAACTCAACTCAGCCTCAAACTCATCGAATTCGAAAACGCTTTTGACAAAGTCAACCGAGAAGTAATTTGGCAGGCAGTCGCTTCAACACCACGGAGTGAAACAAATCTTCATTAACCTCATTCTGCAGTTATATGAAGACGCCATGTGCCAAGTAATCCACAGTGGAAAGCTCAGTGACGCCTTTGAAGTGAAGACAGGAGTGAGAAAAGGCTGCCATCTACTATCACCAATGATCTTCCTGATTGCGATCGACTAGATCATGCAGAAAACGGTGAGGAGTGAGAAGAGGGCATACGCTGACTAGACCAATGAAAAGATCTCAGAGGAAGATTGGATTTCGCCGCCGATGATGATTTATATCTAATGTCTTGTCGCACAAACTCGAAGATCTACAGGTGAAAACTGACAAGTTGACACAAGAGGCAGTACAGCGAACACGGGACTTCAAGTGAATGTAGAGAAAACAGAGGTGATGAAGATACACAACCAACAATAACAGCAGCTGCATGAACAGATAGCACAAATTACCATTAACGGGAGAAATGCAAAGGAAGTAGTCTCCTCCACCTACCTACCTCGACAAGGCAGCATCGCTTCAACTACAGGTGGCGCCGGTGGCACAGACCAGGATGTCGAAGCAACCAGGATCAGAAAACAGCAAGATACGCTTTCATTCATCTGAAATAATCAGTGTGGAGATCTACTGCACTGCACTGCAATCAGCACAAAGCGTCAACAACATCCACATTTTCAACACAAATATCAGTGAAGTCAATGCTTCTATGTGATGGTTGAGAGACTTGGAGTGTCACGGAAAGCATTTCCAACAAACTGCAGACATTCATCATCAACAGCTGCCACCTACGCTCGACAGTGATACTGGAGATCAAATAGATGGCCAGAATAATGAGAATAAGCAAGAAGGAACTCACTCTGACTGGCCTGGCCTCGTCTGGCCTCGTCTGGCCTCGTCTGGTCTGGTCTGGTCTGGCCTGGTCTGGTCTGGTCTGGTCTGGTCTGGCAACGAACCAACCAACAACCCATCACCCAACAAGTATGTTGTAGAAGGGAGTGGAGATGGATTGTACTGGGCATACGGTGAGACGGCCGATTGCGAATATCACGCGCCAGGCCAGGTTGTCGAGTGGAATCATAGGTTGGGGGAGGGGAGGGGGAAACATTGAGTTTGGTGTCCGAGGTGAGGGTGACATGGAGTAGATGATGTGAGGAAGGAATGAAAGCTTGTGGGTAGTGTTGGAGTGAGGTTTGTAAGACTTGAGAGAAGGGAGTGAAATGTAGGCGCGCTTCTGAAGCCCTATATTACACTAGGAACCCGAGAAAATAATAACGATAATAATAAATAATTATCAGAAATCATGCTGGAAAAATGCAGCTCGTAGCAGTAGCTGACTTGGATAATCAGCACATCAAATAAGTGAATTGCAGATAGCTACTTCCAGTTCTCTTGTGGATGAATAGTTTCTCAGCTTCAGTCACTAAGTCGAAGATATGAATATGAAACAGTTGTTAAGTTAGTAATAAGGATCAATTTAAGTTAAGTAGTTCTATTGTTAGCTTACTGTAAAATATTTTATCGATAACTGTGATGTCAAAACTCTTAAAACTTGTTGAATTTTTCACTTTACAAGATATCTAACTAATTTTTGTAACTATTTGGTATGTCTGTTGTGCACATACAACAGCAAACATTCATTTGCAGCTTAACTGACTCATTTTATCATCTTTTCTATTAGAAAATTGACAAATGTGTAATTATGCAGGTAATTTAGTATCAAGTAAACTGTGTTTATTTATATCTTTCCAGAGTAACTGAAGAATTATAGTCAACCACTTAGCAACTGTGTAGAATAGGAAGTTAATCGTTTCAAGTACTTTCAAGAGACTATAAAGTCACGAAATCACATTACCAGTGGTTATCATAACTCAGTAGCCTAGTGGATGGTGTTCTGACGTTCGAGGTGATCGCCCTGGATTTGAGTTTTAAGAGGACACTATCACTTGTTGGGAGACAGGCATATTCAGCGGAAGAAAGTCCTGGATTCCACTGTTAGCTAATAGATACTCTTACTTTACTATCAAACTGAAACTTTAATCAACGTTGAAGCATCTGAACTGGAACCATATCCCACTACAGAATGATCGATTCAGTCTAATCAGTGATGAGAAATTATCAAGAAATAATATAATTATTTTCAAGTTAGTATTCATCATGCACTGACATTATTTGGGGAAACATTGAAAGAGCTCTGCAGAGCTATTTTGTCATGGTACAGGATTACTTACCAGTGCATACTCATGACGTCACCACGTGTCGAACTCAGGACCTTGAGGTTTCGTGTCCAGCTGGTTACAATTAAGCCAGTGGGTCCTGGTTCAACAGTCCAGATTTCCTAGTTCTATCAGTTCACAACATAGCGCAACTCCCATCCAATACAAGTGCAACTCGGTTCTGTCCATCAGGCGTGCACTGTTGGGGAGTCTTGTGCCAGGACGAAATAGCCATCCAGGGATCCTACGTTTTCAATGCTTCTCCTGCTGATGTCACTCCTTGACGAATACCAACTAAGAACCAGTAAGTAAGTTCATATAAACGTCCAAGTTGAATAGCATGATGGCTTTTAATTAGTTTGTTTATAGACGCTGCTAAAACGTTTTTCGACACTGTACGTTGAGATTCGGTCTATTATTGAACTTATCGATCAATTGGCATGATGTCAGATGGTTACAGGCAGTTGACAGGATGCTTCACAATCGGTAAGGGTGACAAACGGTATATATAAAGGGAAAAGACGTATTTAGTGCAAGCTTATGACTGTAATTTACTGGGAATTTCTGGCTGACAGAGAATAACTGCAAGCCTCAGTCCCATTCATTACGGTGATAAAACAATTAACTTAACTCTTTCACACCAGGTTCCTTTACTGGCTGGTACCGTCATTGTAGTACACATGTACCTCCTGATATGTAGGGGCATCATTAACCTGTCTTCGCTCAACTTTTTTATACCTAAGGGTGCAGCTTGTTCCTCTAAGAGGTAAAACCTAGTAGTCTACCCACGGACACATATGTAGATTATTCCATAAAGAATAAATGGGAGCCGCGTCATGAAATAGCATATAGAGCCAGCCTACTATTCTATTTAGTAGGTTAAATTATCTTTGGTCATCGGAATCAGTCAGTAAAATTACTGCAGCAAATAAGCACAGTCATGCGATTAGAAGTTTGCTAGCTTAGTAAGCACAGTTCATAATGATCAGTGGAATTCATTCGGCACTTGACACTAAATAACACAAAATTAATTATCTGTAGTTAGTTCATGAATGCATTCAAGACAGCATTATATAACGTGAGCCAGCAGATATCTTCTCATAAGTCAAACGTATTCGTCTGCATTAACAGATTAGAATGGATATGAGAGAGATTACTGACTTCTCTCAGTAAGTCAGTAAATTGGAATGCACAGATGACATAGTCGTGTTAGGTGAAGATGCTGACAAGATACAGAGTCTTCTAGACACCTTGAGTGGCAATTTGAGAATGTTGGAGATGCGTTTCTTGCCAGCCAAATGTAAATTACTGCTGGGTGACTGGTCCTCGACGGCACCTGGACCAACAGTAGGGGTGAATTGGTTGAGCGCGTTGAACACTTCACTTACTTGGGAAGCCGGATCAACCGTGGTGCGTTGGTCAGTGGCCGACGACATCTCTGCACGGATACAAAAGGCTTGGTTGGCGTTTGCCAACTTACACTTTCTGCTTTTATATCTGACTGTCTATCACGAACGGAGTGTACTATGCTGAAGTCCGCTTTGTTCTACTGTATGGCTGTGAAACATGGCCCTTGAAGGTAGAAGACATGAGAAGGCTTCAGGTGTTTGACCACTGCTGCCTTCGTAGCACTGGGTGTGTTTCGTAGTGTCACCATATGAGTAACGCATAAGTCAGGTGTTGAGTTTTATGTCGAAGAGGTGAGACAGTTAATATTCTTGTGAACCTTCATCGATTGAGATGACTAGGACATGCGTGATGTATAGATAACCACCGTTTGCCCTTGACGCAATGTTGACCGAAGTAGGTGCAGGCCTAAAAGGAGCTCCGGATGGCCAGACTAAAACATGGCATCAATATATGTAGTCTTTTACTATTGGTTTGTGTTATGTAGGGCGATGCGGACAAGCCGGTTGGCGTCCACGGGACAAGAGAAACCATGGGTTGGAGATATGGCTAAGAATCTATGTCGGTGGTGCAGATGTTCACACACATTATCTTCATCTTAATCGCTATACTTAGTCCCGTCATCTTCTCCGTCTCCTTTCCTCTCCTTTACTACTTTCTGCCTCCACTTTTTTTGACCGATTTTTCTTTCCTTCTTCATCTTCCAGTTAATTGTCTTGTTAATTGATATGCTGATATGAGGTGTAGCATATTGGACTGTTCTGCAGATATGCTTGGTCCTATGATGATGATGACAGCGAGTGAATGTGTTACCTAGTCATGTGTTTTGCATTTCTCTTACTATTATGTCGATGAATAGGTGATCACTTGACATAAAGTTTGATTTAAAGCCTTCTTTGAACGACAGTTAACCATCTGATGTAAGTCTACCGTGGATTGCCATATGGTGATGACCTGTTTTATGAGGACTGTAATTACTACCCCCATTTTATTTGTTTTCATCAGAATACTTGTACCTTAATATCTTACGAAGATCGTTCTTCACCAGTACATCCTTTATATTGGTATAATGTCACAAGACGTAGGCATTGGTAGCGAAAATACCATAGAACTTCTCCCTCAGTACCGAAATGCAGTCAGTGATCAAGTACACCCTTGGATAAAAGACAATAAGCCACATCTATTGTGTGATGGCTAATGATACTACCAAGCTGCATAATATAAAAAGGGTGGAGCTATGTCCGAACCCTTCTACCATTGGTTGAAAGGCAACTATTTACACCTATGGCACCCACAGCCTTCTAATCGACCCTGGTCGACCACTTTGAATAGCCTATGTGTTTGACCTGGCAATCAATTCAAGGGATTTGGTAAACCAGATTATTTTGCTAAATTGCATCGATAGGATCTTGTAACCTACAGAGGTTGTTTGTGAGTGAGTTTGTTGGTTTAAATGCCAGACACTTTAATTCGAGCCAGCCTTATTGAGAATTCTTCGTAATGTTTCTGAGGTGCCTTCCTTGTATGGTAACACAGCAGAGGCTATGAATTCTTTCGCAACCCTGCCACAATTATTAGTAGTAAGATTATTGCTAATGACACCTGTATTACTACTACTACTACTACTACTACTACTACTACTACTACTACTACTACTACTACTACTACTACTACTACTACTACTACTACTACTACTACTACTACTACTACTACTACTACTACTACTACTACTACTACTACTACTACTACTACTACTACTACTACTACTACTACTACTACTACTACTACTACTACTACTACTACTACTACTACTACTACTACTACTACTACTACTACTACTACTACTACTACTACTACTACTACTACTACTACTACTACTACTACTACTACTACTACTACTACTACTACTACTACTACTACTACTACTACTACTACTACTACTACTACTACTACTACTACTACTACTACTACTACTACTACTACTACTACTACTACTACTACTACTACTACTGTTTTGCCCTATGACTCAGGCATTTAACTAAGCCTACTTTAACTGCAATGGGGTGGTAGGATTTAAAGTCTAAGTAGCGACTCAAATTGGAAGGTTTCCTATAGACACTAGTCTTTAGACTTCCGTCTTGTGTTCGTTTAATCTCGCAATCCAACATTGCTAGCTCACCTTCAATTTCTAAGTCACAGATTCCAGGCTAGAATTCACCATGGATGGACATCAGTTAGAGTAATATTGGAAACATGGGAGTGCTGGATAGCAGCTGTTTCATCCTGGTGTGGGACTCCTCGGCAGTACGCACCCATGACCCCACCAGGGATCGAACTCAGAACCTTCAGGTCTTATGGCCAGTACGTTACAACTGAGCCATTGATTCGGAATCCAATGGTCCATACTAGAGACGAAACATCTGTCCAGTGCTCCAAGGTTTCGAATTTTCCTCCAACTGATGTCAGTCCCAGATGAATTCCATCCTGAAATCAATTAATAAATCTCCACAAACTTTCACATTGAATCTTAACTGAGACATTACAAAATTGCATAGTGACATGAAGTCACTTGCTTAATAACACAGTTGTGCAATTTCATCGTAAAATACTGACATACAGGGAAAGAATCTGATATGGAACTATATGTCATCCAACATCCAGCCGTCATTGAATTACTTACTATTTAATGCTTTTAATTGATTAAACAAAATCCATTGAACAATTGAACACTTCATCACAAAATCAAGAACATTGTGTATGCAATTGGAGATTACTACATTTAGTACTAGTAATAAACTGAAAAGTCAATCAAAAGATGAGCATTTTTAGTGTGTAAATAATAGTGATTTCATTGCTTTACAGTAAATGCATGAAGATACACACACATATACATGTATGAATTCGCTTTCATTAAGAAAGATATGCTACATGTCAACATATGAATATATACTTAGATGTTTCTCATATATAACACCCACGAATCCTTTCACCATGTGAATTGTCTACTGTAGAAGTATGTGCTAACTGACACCTAAACTGAACAGTTTATTATTCGTTACAAAAGATTAAGGAAAGAAAAATGGAACTATTTATTGTGTTTTTCCTTCGATCTGATCAAGTGAAATATAGTGAACGGGATCAGTAGATAGGTAAGTATATGCAATACATAAACATACACGTACACACATATCAACTCAATTGTGTGTTAACTTAATAGGTGAGTATGAAATACAATTTTATCAACAAAAATTATATACACAATCTACAGAGTCTAAACGTTGCTTGACAAATTTCTGTTATCAGTAGGAAAACATTGAACACAATGAATGTATCATTAGCTGAAAGATTATGGAAAATTATCTTCATCGTTTTTAATAGTATCTTTATTGTGAGTTGGTAGTGGTGTTCATTTTAACTTTATTGTCAAATCTAGTTGTTTGGTTTTATACTATTCGTTATTGGTATTAAAGCACAGACAACTTTTGCAAAGTATAATACAATTATACAAGCTTCAACACCAGCCATCTTTCCAACTATCATTTTCACCGGGATATTCAGTATTCTAACTGGATGTATAGGATTTGTTGGTGTATTTAAACAAAAACCTATTTTCTTCATTTTGGTAAGTATATTTTAATTATATTCATCATAATACAATAATGTTTTTATTTAGCATCTTGTTGGTTTAGGTGTTGCTACGATTATTGACTTCGCTATAGCAACAGCATCTGCTGTGGTACATGATAAAGTTGGTTTGTTGACAATTGAACAGAATCAATTCTAACACCAGAATTTAATTCTTTATAGTTCCCCATTATGGCACATGATGCATTACGCAGTGCTGTTAGATATTATTATTATAGACATGATATTCAAACAGATTTTGACAAGTTGCAAGGAAATGTAAGTTACTTATAAAAAATTAGAACAAAAATAATCGTATGACAATTTTTTGTTTAGTTAAAGTGTTGTGGAGCAACATCATTCTTGGATTATACACGAATGGGTGCCAATGTACCATTCTCTTGTCGTATTGGTGATCTAGTTTACGCTGAAGTGAGTACCAACTGATTTTTGGGAATTGTTTAAATTATCTGAAGCCGAGGTCAAGGTCACAACCACTCCTGTACCATTGTTTAAATGTTGTTTTTACTGAATCCCTTCATGTTGGTTCTTTAGCTGTTATTTAAATTCTTTCCGTAGGAAGTGGTCGACTCTTGTCTCTGTGTTTAGGCAATGTTGGCAACAATCAAAGTTATTGGATTACGAAGTGATGCAGTTCCATCTGAGACTCGATTCCTATCGCTTGTTTGACTGGTTAGATTTACAAACTACCAAAGTGCTCAAGTCCCATTGTTTCACTCATTAAGGAAGGTTAGCACTGAAATTCACATTAAGGAGTTGTAACCTCAGAGATAAAGTGACTTGTTATTTTGTCAATAAGGTAACTCTTTAATAGTTAAACGCAAATTTATGGAGACGAACAGTAAATTTACGCTGTATGTCGACGGGTTCAAAACTTTTGTTTATGTTTGATGTGACAGATTTAGCTCTTTTATTCTTCATGATGCTAACATATTCATCAATTTGTTTGTATTTACTGAGTAAAAAATCACTGACTGTTTTGAATAGTGGCTAACGGTCGGATTCATAACCCACTTTTTATGCTGTCTGCGACTACTTAGCTGGATGTGTCTGGATCCCATTGACTGATGATGGCAAAGCTACTAAGGCATGACAGTCACCTATTTTGAAACGGGTATAAGTTGTTATTTGTGGTAGTCCACCTCTTTTGACCTATGGCCCCTTATGTGGGTGCGTTAGTACTGCTTGAAGATTCATTATTTCATAACTTATTCAGTATTGGTTATCAATGGAATTCAGAATGAGTGTAATTGAGAACATCAATGCAAATTGGAATTCAGTTACATCCATCTGTGGAACCCAAAATAAGGTGAAATAAACCACTATTTTAAGTACTATACAAACCTATAAAAAGTTAATTATTCAGACCATTTCAACACTAAAGTTGTAATCTCTTAAGACATGCCCTATTATTGCGTTAGTTTCTCTCGCCTTGTTGAACAAATATTCTACAACTTACCTTTAATATAGTCTAAATTACAAATGGTAACAAAGGTTAACGATAGAACGAGTGTATTTTAAAGATTTTTTAATTGTATGTGTAACTTAAGCAGCGTCCCACAAGACAATAGTCACTGGATGTTAACCGATGTCCCACCATGTTTAACCTACATGCCTATGGAATTCCACCGATCAAGTTCACCATGGGGCTACCTACTAAAGTGACTGTCAGTCGTGATACTCTTCGACTGGTGTTGGGTGGTTGTTATCACTTCCTGAGAAGTGTTGATTGATAAAGTTTTTCATGTTGATTAGAACTCGTCAGTAATCAGCGTAGGAATTTGACGTCCTGTAAGACATTATAACCCATGTCAAGCTTCACTAGCATTAGAAATATTACCAGTGGACGGATTGTGACCCGGATAGCTAAGCATTGGTCTTAATAACTTCGTCCTGCATACTATGATTGTGAATGAAAGAGACTGACATTCCGAACCTTTTTAAAAAATTCGCATCATCTACTAAAATAGTGATTAGCCAGCACATGTGTGTTTCGTGAACTAGACAACGAGATACATCTATTATTTAAGAGCTAGTGACTGAAATCTCAGTAGATAGAGAATTTTTAGTAGTTTAGCCTATAACCAACAACCTGAAGTACATATTTAATGGGTTTAAGGAATATGAAATAGTCCATACTCCGGAAGATAGATAGATTAATGTTTGAAGCTTAAGAATGGCGAATGGAAACTGTCTTCTTTTTTAATATGAATAGGTAACAGAAAGATTTCTGTATGCTTGTGGTGATTATACACGTACTAAGAATGAAATTCTTTAGGTATAATTGGTATTTATTGAGTTTCTCATGTCGTTTACTCTCACAACTCGTAACAGATAAGAAATTGGGATACTATCTATTATCAGAAAGCCTCAATGAAAACCTAATTTCTCAAAAATTGACTTCATAAACATTTAGAATTAGTAAATGACAGAAAAATGGGAGTTCACTTTCTTTCAACACTATTCCTGATACTCTATAGTGAACTTGCCTATATGATTAACAGACAGTGATTGATACACAATCATCTGTCTGCAGATATAATCCTTTAGAGATAATTACCTTTTTACAATCACTTTAAAGTAGTTGGACAGTTTTCAAGCTTCATCAATCACTTTCAAAGCATGCTGTCAAATTCTCAACGTCTGAATAAAATAAATCATTCCTATTTCATGTATTGGGTATTGATTCAATAAACGATGGTTATATAATATTTCTCCGATCATTGAATTAGTTCAGACTACATAAACGATATCTTTTCTCATAAGTGATTGTAGTAATAATCACTGATTTATATATATAAGTACTTGATGAAGTTTACCATTCATCTACTGTAATACCATGTCTGATTCTGATTGTCTATTGTGATCTACTCCTTTAAACTTATAACCATGGCAACATTTCATGGACTTAATTAGCTTACTAATATAGGAGGTAAAATTTGAGCATTGTGGTAGATTGTAATTCTATTCTGGCCTGTTTATTAGAAATATCACAAGGTGAAGGGACAGTATCATTTACTGGATAACGTTTCAGACACAATTTGTTGTCCATATTCATATCGGTAACTAACTCTACAACTTCAAGACACTTTATGCGCGTCTGACTCTCTCTCTCTCTCTCTCCTTCTTTGTGATGTCAAGGATAGTAGTATTTTCCCTTTATCTGGGACGGCTACACAATCATTTCTGTCACTACGTGTATTTGGCGTTGATTCGATAAATGCAGATTCGGTCATCAATCTCTCCCTCCCTCTCTCCGTCCACACAACTAAGCTAGTTGTTGACACTGTCGCTCTATCCCACACTATTGTGTGATTGTGTGTCATTGCATGCAGAGCTATAGCTGAACTTTTCTCTACATTTCTTATCTGATTACGACCTACTAATCTTGAATCAGATGAGTTTTTGTGCTGCGTTATTCCAATCGACTTTTTTTTTTCACTTTGAATAGCCTATGTGTTTGACCTGGCAATCAATTCAAGGGATTTAGTAAACCAGATTATTTTGCTAAATTGCATCGATAGGATCTTGTAACCTACAGAGGTTGTTTGTGAGTGAGTTTGTTGGTTTAAATGCCAGACACTTTAATTCGAGCCAGCCTTATTGAGAATTCTTCGTAATGTTTCTGAGGTGCCTTCCTTGTATTGGCCCATAGAATCCCTAAGCCCACAAACTCTTCTTTGAGCAAGTAAATCTACGAGTTGACTTGTCAAACCTATTGAAGCCCTTTTTAAAATATCCAAGTTAAATTTCCTAACGCAGTGAATCTTGAGAGTTCCAAACAATGTAGGATAATGAATCCTTGAGTATTCCTGTAGTTTTGACTGCTGCCAGTCTGAAACACACTAGATACTTCTATTTAGGCCTTCCTACTTTCTAGAACAGCAGATTTCAATCTAGAATCTCACAATTACAGTTCAATATCTATAATTCTGTACAAATCACAGGTTTACAATGCAAGCTTGCTACACTTACCTAGTTGTCTAAAACTGCAAGTTTGCTTGCAAGCTGTGTGCTACCAAGATACAACAATCTGTTACGAAAAGTATCTGTAAAATATATATTACAGTCAGACAAGAGAGACAAAATGAGATCTCAAGTTTTTCTAAACCAATGTGTTTGAAAACTATTGAGTAAGACTATAGTACTACATAAGTCACTTTTTCTTGATTCCTGATTGCATATATGATTCAGTTTCATTCCAGTATAATAGGAACACCGTTTCTTTCCATTCGATCAAATGAATACTCTGAAATTGGGGGAGGGGGGGGTTTTTTTTTTTCAATACAGATCTTTTGGATATAGCCACAGAAGTAGCAAATTTCGATTGCAAACAGTTACGATTTTTTAAATATTATTTGTCCCTTGGGTTCCTAGTAGAACACAGGGATTCAGTAGGGCGTCGCCATTTCACTCTCTTCTCTGCAGTCTCCTAAACCTGGCTTGATGACTGCCCAGAAGCTTCCATTCCTTCCTTACATGGTCTCCTCTATATGGTCACCTTCGGACGCCAAACTCGTCGGTTCCCATTTGAATTCCACTTGACGGCTTCGCCTGATGCGTCATATCCCCAAATTCCATGTTGGTTATTCTTACTGGATATTTGATCTTCAGTATCATGCGTAATCGGCTGTTGATGAATATCTGTAGTTTGTTGGAAATGGTTTTCATGACGCGTCGCCAAGTCTCTCAACCATCACATAGAAGCACTGACTTGACTGACATTGGTGTTAAAAATTCGGATGTTGTTCACGCTTTATGCTGATTGGAGTAGATTTCCACAATGCTTTCAGGTTATAAGATTTCCCTTATGTGATTTCAGTTTTGTATTCATCTTGTTGATTAGCATTGGTATTTGAGATGCACGTCTCATCCCACTGGGGACTCGTCAACTGAATGTAATTGCACTCCAGTGAGTAATATTTTTTCCCAATGGAATTTGAATCAAGTACCCATCTCATGAAATGCGAAAGCGTTATCCACTAGGATATTCAACTTTGAAAGTGACCTTCTAATTTCATTTTCATCACCGCTAACACAACCGGTATTCATAGGAAATTTTGCATCAATATGGGAAATTGATATTTTTCTGAATATCTATATAAATATACCGCTATTTTTCTCCTTTTTTTATTTTTTCCTCATTTAAACACAGGGTTGTGTTCATGTATTGTCTGAGCTAGTACAACATTACATCATTGTGATAATTAGTTTATGCTTTGTGTTCGCTATTATCCAAAGTATCTTCTTGATTATCTCAATCCTACTATTTCGTAAATCAGAAGCAAAATTGGGATCTGTGTAAACCTTTTCTATGAGTGTTCTTATTGAAAAACACAATTTTAAGAATAAAAATGAAATTGAGTTCATTATAAAAGTAAACATTATTATTCATGTAATGACTGAATACTAACTGTTTTTGTAACAGTTAACATTTACAAGGTAACAATAAATCATTCATTTTTTTTCAAAATTTTCAGTAATTTTCTTATTTTTTATCATTAAAACAAAATATATACATTTGATTGTTTCAGTTTTATTTTCATTAGTTCATTTTTACTACTTTTGATGGTAGGAATAATAGTAGTATACATGAGTTTAGAACGTTACCTGGTTAACTGGTTCACTAGTTACTAGCCGGTCCTAAGCTGGAATAAAGAGGGAAAGTTGAGCATAGGGCTAACAACCCTACACTCGAAAACTAATCGGACCGCTACAGAAACTTCAAAGCACAGACAAAATATAAAAATACAAAAAGAAACTTATTCCTTGCTGGAATTAGAGAGACGAAATAATGCCGGTTGGTGAAAGCCTTTAGGAAACCAATTGGCCAGGTCGATGTATCTTCTCTACCTTGATGAAAACGAAAGTAAGGGTGGGGACATGGAATGTCCGCACCACGTATAAACCCAGCAAGGCTGCCCAGATTGCAAAAGAGATGAGAAGGTATAGAAGTGCCAGGAAAGGAATCTGCGAAGGCGGGTGGAATGGAAGTGGACTCTCCAAACTGTCAACTGGAGAGTCAATAATGTACCCCATTATTGTCACCCAGACGACAACCACGAGCACACTGAGGGAGTGGCTATCAAAACCAGGATCGGAAAACAGCAAGATAGGCGTTGATTAACCTGAAATCAGTGTGAACATTGCACTCAGCATAAAGTGTGAACAAGATACGGATTTTCAACACTGATGCCAGTCAAGTCAGTGCTTCTCTATGATGGTTCAGAGACTTGGCGCGTTACGAAAGAGATTTTCAACAAACTACAGACATTCATTAACAACTGCCTACACTGGCTCGTTACTGAAGATCAGATGGCCAGAAAGAATAAGCAACGAGAAACTCACTGTGGCTGACAACGAACCAACCAAGAACCTATCGCTCAGCAAATTTGTAGAAGGAAGTGGAGATGGATTGGAGTGGGCATACACTGAGAAGGCCGATTGGGGACACATGCGCCAAGCCAGGCCCTCGAGTGTAATCCGAATGGGAAACGACGAGTTGGGCGTCGGTGCCGAGGCTGACATGGAGGAGATGGTATGAATAAGAAATGAGAACTTCTGGGCTGTCGTGGAGGCAGACTGAAAAGATTGCAGAGAACAGAGGGGAATGGAGACGTGTTACTGAAGCCTTATGTTCCACTAGGAACCCAAAGGACAAATAATATAATAGTGATACATGAGTTTAGAATTTGTTTCAACAGTTATAACCAACTTATAGCAGACCACTGTTTATATTAGATGATTTAGCTTTCTAATCCTCTATTTGTTTGAATTTTACTTCAGATCTTTAATATTAGAGTAGGATCTAGGTACCGAGGTAAAGTATACTTCCATGAAACTCTATTCATTTGATATAGTACTCAGTAGTATAAAATGTTTTATTTAGATGGTAACTATGTGATGAAAATCCACTAATTATACTTATACTAAGATGCTGATAGTCAAACATGAAGGAAAAATATTCTTTGCAATGACTTCCCATCAAGTTTTACAGTTGTAAAATCAATTCACTTAACACATTATTAGCCAGAATTTATGGTGAATGCATTCAGGAATGGGTATGGAATTATAATTGAAGTCTAATTCTTTACCTATAGTAATGATGGGTAGGGGTAGCAGTGGAATACAGGATGCGCATTTCGTCCTATTTGGGACTCGTTAGCTGGATGTACCTGCCTCCCAGTGCATGATGTTATTCCCACAGGGATCCGGACTCGGACACGATCGCTTCATACGTGAGAGCGTTATCCAGTAGACCACCGAGCCACGATAGCCCCTTCTTGTGCGGTGGGCATAGTTTTAGTGTTATTGCTTTCCCCATATGCCAACAGAGACTGATCAATTCGGTCCAATCAATGACGGTGTAGTACAAGCAATAACACTCTAATTCATTACGTTTGCGGATGGTTGATAGTGTAATTAATACATATGTATGTTAATTATAGTGATAAGTTGAGTATAAATTTTGTCAAGTGATTCGTGATCGGACATATGACGAACACAAATTAATAATAAAGTTGCAGGTAGCAAATTGTGCCAATCTGGTGAGTGGTTAGTACAAAGAATGATGATATGAATTTACCAATAAGGTAGAAATCGAGTGGATATAACACCATAATAGATGGTTAATATGTGAAACGATTAAGACAATGAAAGTGGTAATAATATGGGAAAAAAAAGGATTTTAACAGGGATTTTAAAGGATGATTATTATAAGACGGGAGGAAAGTCTGCTTAAAAAAACAGTAATAATAATATTAATTTAAAGTTTAAAAATAGAGAAAAGAAGAGAGCGGGGACAAAAGCAGAAATGAAAAAGAAAGAAACAAAACAGTTAAGACAATACTATTTAGTCAATGGAAAGCCAAGGGAGGAAGAGATCTCGGATGTATCCTATTTGAATATAAAGTTCACCTTATTTCGTCTTATATCTACAGCGTTCGCTATATGGAGAATGAGTGAACGTATGGTACATGATGGAGTCTTTGTTACGCGGTATATCAGAGTAAAAGCTCAGCTAACATTGATTTGGTTTCCTGCATCTATTAGATATACTAAAATGAAACTTTTAACAGATTTGATCTCAGCCTTTGTAAACCATGCTGGTTGATATTCTCGTAGACTGAGACAGACGTGTCTAACAGTGTGCCCTATACAACAAGTCCTACAAGAACAACTGAATCATAATTATTTTTCCCTTGACTTCCTAGTGGAATATAAGGCTTCAGTAGCACGCCTACATTTCACTCTCATCTCTAAAGTCTTACAAACCTCACTCCACCACTACCCACAAGCTTTCATTCCTTCCTCACATCATCTCTTCCATGTCACCCTCACCTCGGACACCCAACTCAGTGTTCCCCCCCCTATGATTCCACTCGACAACCTGGCCTGGCGCGTGATATTCCCAGTCGGCCTTCTCACTGTATGCCCAGTACAATCATCTCCACTCCCTTCTACAACATACATGTTGGGTGATGGGTTGTTGGTTGGTTCGTTGCCAGGCCAGGCCAGTCAGAGTGAGTTCCTTCTTGCTTATTCTCATTATTCTGGCCATCTATTTGATCTCCAGTATCACTGTCGAGCGTAGGTGGCAGCTGTTGATGATGAATGTCTGCAGTTTGTTGGAAATGCTTTTCGTGACACTCCAAGTCTCTCAACCATCACATAGAAGCACTGACTTCACTGATATTCGTGTTGAAAATGTGGATGTTGTTGACGCTTTGTGCTGATTGCAGTGCAGTGCAGTGTAGTGTAGTAGATCTCCACACTGATTATTTCAGATGAGTGAAAGCCTATCTTGCTGTTTTCTGATCCTGGCTGCTTCGACATCCTGGTCTGTGCCACCGGCACCACCTGTAGTTGAGACGATGCTGCCTTGTCGAGGTGGGTAGGTGAAGGAGACTAATTCCTTTGCATTTCTCCCGTTAATGGTAATTGGTGCTATCTGTTCATGCTGTTGTTGTTGGTGGTGGTGGTGGTGGTTGTGTATCTTCATCACCTCTGTTTTCCCTACATTCACTTGAAGTCCCGTGTTCGCTGTCCTACCTCTTGTGTCAACTTGTTAGTTTCCGCCTGTATATCTTCGAGTTTGTGCGACAAGACATTAGACATAAATCATCATCGGCGGCGAAATCCAACTCTTCCTCTGGGATCTTTTCATTGGTCTAGTCAGCATATGCCCCTCTTCTCACTACTCACTGTTTTCTCCATGATCCAGTCGACTACAATCAGGAAGATGATTGGTGATAGTAGGTGACAGCCTTTTCTTACTCCTGTCTTCACTTCAAAGGCGTCACTGAGCTTTCCACTGTGGATTACTTGGCATATGGCGTCTTCATATAACTGCAGAATGAGGTTAATGAATATTTGTGGCACTCCGTGGTGTTGTAGCGACTGCCTGCCAAATTACTTCTCGGTCGACTTTGTCATAGGCCTTTCATTGTCGATGAAGTTGAGGTAGACAGTTAATTGCCGTTCTCCATTCTGTTCAATGATAATACGTAGCCTTGCAATTTGATCGGCACACGATCAAACAGTTAAATTGGCATATGCATAATGGTAAGCTGAAATTAGGTAAGGCGTCCTTCAGTCTTGGACTGAACAATTGATACGCCCAGACGTCCTCATTCATTTGCTCACTCATTCACACGACACAATGTACAACCTGCTACCTTACTATGAACTTGCCACGACCCTCACTTCCTGTGAAAACGGCATAGTTTTTATGTTGTTGCTTGAGTTATCCCGTCTATGATTGCACCAAATTGATAGGTATCTATTGGGATATGAGCTCCTGCACCAATGCCTCGATATTGCCTTTTCAAAAAAATTGTATATTAATGATTGATTGTTTCTGGCAAGGAAATCCAACAACACTAAAATTGAATCCATCGCACAAGAATTGGATATCGTAGCTCGGTGGTCTAGCTGTTTTGAGCCACAGTGGGAACAACCATTCACTGGAAGGTAGGTGCATCCAGCTGACAACTCCAAAATAGAACGAGACGTGCTTACTGCATTCTACTTCTAGCCACTATCATCAATAATATGTAACTAAAAAAACAGGCAGTACCCAGGCATCGGGGCAGGAGCTCATTTGCCAATAGAGACCGATCAGTTCGGTCCAGTCAGTGACGGGATAACGCAAGCAACAACGTTGAAAGTTAACTAATGCGACAACTTGATTCAGCCTGTGCTTCCCGTCTCCAACACGTTTTGTTTGTGTATTATATGGCTTCTGTCTATCAACCGACCCTAAGAAAGTGGCAAAAGAACACATAAAAGTGGTGTAACCTTCCTAGTAGCTAAGGCCTCAACAAACTTATGCATCCATCCTCAACATGTTTTATAAACATATCTACAGGAAGTAGGCACGTTAATCCTGTGGCCTGTCTAAACGATATGTTTCGCGATCGTCGGACATCTGCTACCAACGTCTATACGTTCAAGTGACTTAATTTGCTTCTGAAGCCACTTAAGAATATCTTCCGAAGCCTTCACTTGCATGGACCTATGAGTCACCCCTAAGTGT